GGCACGTTTTCTAGGTGCAGGTGTAGCGGATTGCTACGCTAGTAAAGCCAGACTGACTCAGAAATCTCTGTGGCAGATTCTCCAACATCTAGCTAGACTCCCAGAACCAGCTAAGCTAGAGCCCAGCTATGAAAGGAAACAGATGTATAGCACGAAGCATGTTTATTCAGTACGTATATTGTTGATAAAGTGTACACGTAGGGGGCTTAATCATGATCGGGATGGCTGATTAGATTGAACAAACAGAGGCTAATTTTTGGTCACTGTTTGTAAGGTCGCTGCACACAGAGTTGTACGGCGCACCTCCATATCTTGGCATGCAGGCATACGATGACGTACAAAGCGACAACGTGTCCCACACATGAAGCACGCTGAATTATAGCAACTACGAGGCTTACCTTTAACCGATGTTTAACCGATTTCAAATAATCAGTTGCCCTTAACCTAGTTAACCAAATAATTCTAGAATATCTTATTAGATTAAGTACCTTCTCAACCATTAGAACAATGTGTAGGCGAAGCGGCAAATCAAGCCTACGTAATTAAATAAAAGCAATTCATAAAAACACTGAATATTGGAGACAAGCATGCATTGATATCCATGGCGCGATTCTTAAAATTAGAGCTTTGGCTTATGAATTCTCCATTTAGTAAATATTGCATGGTCTGTGCCCAAAAACCGAATAAGATATGACTCATTGTTACCTTTGACATTGTTCTCTGTTTCTTTGTAATTAAAATTATTTCCTTAGATCTCTCCTATTCGATATGAAAAAATGTGCTTCGAATGTGGACAAATTATTTGTATTTATGCACGCATTTCACTCAGAAATGGTTAAAAATGGTTGACCTTCCTGTATTTGAAGAACTAAATGATGTGTAGCTATTGGAAGTGGAATCTCTTTTTCTCTTAATTTTATATTACACATTTTGAATCACTTTGAATATTTCCAAAACGTTGATGTACTAACCTGATCGATAGTTGTATTAAGCCTTCTTAGCAGTAAAATAGTCGAAGGATGTCGAAAATATAGTTTCTTTCAATATTAATTTCACATAGTCTCTAAATTGTTTTCAATTCAATTATGCCACGCGCCAACAGTACATGTGTCTCTCATTATCGTAGATGATTGCAATGCTGAGTGCTACGTCACTTATTCCAATGCGCATAACTCCCACACATTGAAAGATCGGTAACTCCCCCCAAAATTACAATGTCACAGAATATGCTTTATTTAACGCAAGTGATTTGCTAAAATATTCTCAGCAAAGGGAATTATTACGCATTTCAATACAAAATGCAATATTTGAGGACTTTTTTACTTCGTTTGGGAAGAAATGAAAAGAACTAATAAGAGTAAAAATTGAATTGCGCCTGTTCCATGAACGCCAGATGCATTTCTCCTGAATCAGTTGTATTACTGTAGTGGAAAAAATAGTAATGTACTACCTATTAAGGTTTCTAATCGTGAGTTGTTCTGGAATGGTAGGACCCCGGTGAAGTCTTGGCTTATTTAAGTGATAATACGCAGTAATTTCCAAAGATCCTGTTTCATCGCTGTTAAACTATATGAATGAAATTAAATTCGGTAGAATGTGAAAATTGCAATTACTTTGAAAAAGTACAAGTAAGTCCGAATGAATTTTAAGAGAACATTCCACGTCAAATATAAGAGTAAACGCAGTGAAACTAACCTCTAGTAACAAAAGAGAAGGTTTGACGACACTCAAATCAACTTGACGGTTAGGAAAAAAAGTCCATTAACAGTCCAGAAACAGTTGCTCGTCACTTCTTCCTATTTTTGTTTTTTTGGCGATTTAAGTAAACACGGAGCTAAATCAAAGAGTCCAGTACTGTAGGAATCATTTCCATTTGTGAATCGAGGAGATTATCTATGAAATGTAAGCATTAAGACGTAAAAGTAAAGCATAAGTCTCCTATGAAAATGTGAACTTCACATTGTTTAAATATATCAAAGTTAAAATGTAATCTTCTGACTTTAATACCTCATTTACTTTACCCTATTCCAGTTCCATATCATCACTGAACTCATTTACAAGTCTCCAATGACTGCAAAAATGACTGTAAGCCATTGAGATCGATGGCAATAATAGCAAACACTCATAATCATATCGTCAAATCCATATCACTATAATTTTGACGTTTTGCTGCACTTTCTGAGGTAGAGTAAAAAATGTCTGAATTTTCTTGCATATCGACACTAGCATTTGTGATTGCTTGTTATATGATGCAATTATTCCATAATTTCTAACTACATTGGGGATAAAGTTTTACTACAAAGCAGTATCTCTTTTTCCAAAAACTACATTAAAACAACTAGCACGTAAAATGTCATCCAGCAAGTTTAAAATTCATAAAGTGACATATTCTATCTCGCTGACCATGCTTATTAACTAACATGATTGACTTGCTCGAATTGTTGCATGAAACTATTTTTTTCATTTTTCATCGAACTGAAAACTACGTAAATGCTTTACCTTACTTAGCCTTCTATTTACCGACTTTGATTTCAAAACCCTCCACTCATGCTGAAATTATATTTGTCCTCATATCTACTCTCCCCTCCCCCCCCCCTCAACATAATTTAATATGATAGAGTGAGCCTTTGTCATTGATTCAATATTCAGTCTCCAACTTTTATCATACTGCAATATAACTTTTGTAAAAGACTATCATAAAGAATGGTCTTGTGATGATCCTTAAAATTCACTCAAATGATTATAGCGTTATAAGCATAAAAATATCAAGCAGTAATTGATCCAGAATGAAAAAGAATCAAGGACTCAGCAACGCTCACTGAGACAAATTAGCAAAATCACTCGCTCTGCACTTCTTTGAGAAATTCAATCTTGGGTTTTGTTAAAAATTAGCAATAGATAAAGGATTGGATACAATTTATCTGTTTCTAAATATGAACTATTAAGAGTAAGCAATTTATTAAATCAATCAATCAAGTGCGATTTCTCATTAACTCAAAATAAATGATACAGCTCATAGCAATTAAAATTAACAAGATTATAGAAACAATGGTCTCGGGCAATAAAATAGTATTGCCTTCATGATGACAACCCATTAAAACCGAACTAATTATTTTATAAAGTAGTGAACGTGACTACATTAGGTCTTATTAAGACATTTTAAATGACAAATTGGACTGCAGATGGATTTTTAGTTATTTTTCATACCAAAAATGTTGTATTAACCATAATTCATAATTAGTAAGTTATGTTGAAATACATCTATATATTTATTACATAACCAGTCTAGCTCCGCATAATTAGCCTAAATAGACATTTAAAAACAAATAAGACGACTGACTGGCGCTTAGGATACACCCCGGTATAAAATATGTCAAATAGAAAAAACGAAAATGTTTTAATCAAATACATCTTAATTAAATTGTTAATGTGTTCTGAGACATTTTAATTCGTAGAAATTAAATAAAGTCATAACATTCTTTTAAGGATTTTCAATGGCAAATTTTCAATGATATAATTAATTATTTAAAATACAGATACATTTTAAATAAAATGAATTCGAGGTGCGCGACATACGTGACAGTAAATTCACATCGCATTAAAATTAATTGAATAAGATAATTATTAAAAATATCTTTATTCTTGCCAAAAATATTTTAAAGGCTGCCAAATTTATATTTTGTTTAAGTGAATCAATAAAACTTTAATTTCACGATCGGGCATTGGTCTTTGAGTCGTTGATTGTTTGAATTTGCTTTATCGAGTAGGTTGTTCATTAATTTTTCTTATGCTAAATAATAAGCGTGTGTTTGTAACAGTATTTTTTTGTTAATATAATAGGCGAAATGGCACAAAAATTACTAACGCCATTCAAAAAGCTGCCCCAGCAGATTCAAAATCTGCCCTTTCTTTCCAAATTGCAAGATTTGACGACTGGAAGACAATCAGGATCTCCTGATTCTCATTGCGTATGAAAAATCTTTTTGCTTGACCTTTCTCTAGGCTTCTGTATATGGGATCATGGAACAACCTGTTGCCTTAGCATACGACCAAGATTTGTGTCTTATTGCAGTTGCCTATGCTAATGGACACATTGAAGTGTAAGCATGTTCTCACCTTAATTTATCCCCTCTAGTTATGGAATGCCTGGACTTTCTTTCCCGGTTGATTCCGCGATCTCGGGAATAAAATTCATGGAGTTTCTGCGTAATGAAGGGCGTCTTTTGTTGGCTACTTCTTCATGCCTCATCATTCTTGAATTGAACGCTTCCTCTGGTCACTGGGAGAAGAAGCATTCTGTTCATTTCTCTTTTGAGTTAGTTTAGGAAACTTATAAAGTGGCTTTACGAAATATGAATTTTTTTCTTATATTGTGTCAATTTGTAGATCTGAAGAGGTGATCACAGCATGGGCAATTGGCAATGGGGTAGTGTATGTTGGTTCATCCACTGGTACGCTAAGACAAGTGGCTGTAGAGAATGGAAACATGACTGTTGGTGACGATGATTTGACTTCTCTTCCTGCTCTTCTCGTCCTGAACAAGTAAGTTGTAAATTTACTTCTTCTCGTTTTTCAATTTTTTTCAATTTCATTCCAGACATACTTTGAGCAACAAAAAATAATTTTATCTGTATTTCATAGATTGCCTGAGGACAAACGCGAGAGTTTGAAGTTGAATACTGCGGTCGTGTCAATTGAACTTCATCCACAGAGTGGGGAATTGCTTCTTGGATACGCCGGTGGTACGGCAATTGTTGCTCAGCCTCAACCCATACCTGTTGCTATGACGTATACCGAAGAGAACATTCAAGCGGAGTCTTCTGAGAAGCCAGAGGAGACTGAGTCGGAGAAGAAGTCATTAGATGAAATCGATGTCCCCGCTGAGTCTACTGCTCAGGAAGTAACAAAACAAGATAATAAGGAGGAAGCTCCACCTGTATTACCAGCTACACATTCATTGAAAAAAAGCAAGACCACTGAACGTCATGTTGCTGCTAATCTGCATTCTATTCGCGCCCAAGCTACTGAGAAATTCCGAAATTTCTCAAAGACAATCAAGAGCAAGATTGATAATACGCTGAATGAGGAGAAACCTACACTTCCAATTCTCCCTGTACCTCCGAGCCCACTTGTCACTCGTATTCTGCCTTATACACAGGCTCTGTGTTGTGCTACATGGAGGATTGTTCCATCTATACTAGCCTCTGAAAGTGCTCCGAGCGCCTCCCTGGAAGCACTTGTTGCCTATGATGATGGCGCATATCTGACTTGGACTATTTCCAAGTTAGAATCAGAGGTCGAGGAACCTCTCATTGTTGTCAACCAGGAAGTAGCTAGTGTACCCTATGGTAGGTTTTCTTTTCCTTATTCCTTTCTTGTATTTAGTTTAAACAGTTTTAATCTCTTTTTCCTTTTTTCAGGTCCTCTTCCTTGCTCTGCTATTCAACGTATTGTTGCTAGACCATCAGTCAAGTGAGAAAAGTTTATTGATTTCTAGTACTGTATACCGATTTCGTTTTTTATATTGCCCATTAATAAGATAAGTAGAATGGTTTGTGGTCTTTGATTTATTCATGAAATTCTATTAGTTAATGTTGTTGCAGAATTTGTCACTACTTTCTTTCAGTCTCCATTTCTTCCATAAAATTTGCATGAATCAGAACTGGGTGCCTGTAATCGTAAGAAATAGAAAGATATTTCGGTATGCAGCTTGGACCCCCAATTTTATGTGGCTCATGTATGAACTCATTTTGACTAAGGGGGTTTTAACCTTCCTTTTTCCGGTCGTGATAATATTGATTGCTTCCTTCAAGTTTTGCCAGCTTTGTCCCAACTTTTAGTTTGCATATTAAACGCTTTTATCCTGTTTTTTGATTAGGTCCTTCCATGACCGTCCAAGGGTTGTAATTTCATTGAAAATTAATAGTGGATTTGATCTAAAATATTCTGCTCAAGCTCTGTGCACTTTAGAGCATTCTCAGGTCAATTTGATCACAAGTTTTTATAGAAAATAAATGCATCGGTTAGGAACCGGTTATGGAATCTTGTTTGGCAAATGTGAAACAACTTATATTCAGTAAAGTTGAAAAGCGATGAGGAATTTAAATGAAATCTAACAAGGAGGGAGAGAAATGGATACAAATGACGGGAGTAAGTTGGTCGTTGCAATAGAAATTTGACCAAATCATCGAAGCTTTTGCATCCACTTAAAGACTTATTTCATTCAACTTTTATTTTCAATTTTCACTTGCGAATACCGATTTTATGATAGAATCGGTCTCTTTCGACATTTTACCGCGCTTAAAAGTAGATATTTAAACGGAAAACTTTGAGCACTATTTCTTCTCCTTTTGATTTGCTTCAGCGGTGGAGTTATAACTGCTTTTGTTGGAGGTCTACCGAGGGCCCAACATGGTGAAAAACACACCATCAGTGTGCTTGGAGGCGTTGAAGAGCATGTTTGCTTCCAATTCGGTTCAGCTGTCCGTGACTTTGTCATTCTACCTAGTAAATCCCAGTGCAAGTGCCATCAAGACAGCCCCAACGCTAATAAGGAACGTAAGTAGCAGTAATAACAGTTCTACTCGTTGCTAGGATGTCCGACTATTTTTTTATCTCTTAGTGATTCATAAAGAACTCACCTTATTAGAGCAATGTTTTCTTCCAGCAGAAGCTGAAGAACTGGCCGATAAGGAGAAAAGTGAAGAAATGGAGATCAAACATCCAGTCGAACCACCAAAACCCACTGAAGCTGGTTACCTCCTTGTTCTTACTGATCGTGAACTTGTTGCTATTGATTTGACTCAAACGTCATGGCCCGTCATCCCTTCGCCATACCTCAAGCACCTTGACTGCACTGAAATTAGCGCTGTTGATCACATATCTGTATGTTCTCCTCGTTCGATTCGGTTTTATTTCATTTGCGCTGGTTGCCATTATCCTTTTTATTCATTTAGATTCCAGATCAACTCATGCTTCGTCTTAAAGAGGCTTCGGGGGCTAAAGGATTCGAACACTGGCCAGTTATTGGAGGTCAAATGAGTGGTGGGTCTTGTGCTGCTGTGGTTCAACACAATGCATACCATGATCTTGTGGCTATTGCACATGCTAATGCTGATGTCTCACTCTGGCATGTTGCTCGTGGTGACTGCTTGGAATTCCTTGGGCGTGTTTCCACTCTAGATATGATGGCAGATGCTGGTGAAATCGGTTTTCTTGCTGAACAAAAGGTGAGCTGTCAAACGGTTAAGGTATTTTACTGGCGTATCGAAGATACATATTAGATTAAAAAATAGCTGAAAAGCATATAGTAAACGAGCCCATTTTTTAGAGTTTTAGATTTTAAGGAACGATTCTACGGTACTTTTGATTTTTTTGCATAATTCAAGTTTGTGGTCTGTTCTTGCTCCCTAGACTTATACCTTAGGTAGTTTTAGCATTCGATCTCACAGTATCATCTTCTCTCTTTGTGATGGCCACATTATGAATTGCTATTTACGCATTTGGAAATATTTGAGCAAATTATCTAACTGAAGTTAGCTTCATATCTAAAATTATGATTACTTTGAATTGGATGCAAAACTGCACTTTGCGTTGTCAGCCTGTTGCACTTCAAGGACCAGTAGGATAGGGCAATATGTTGCAATCATCAAATTCCATTATATGCGTTATGAGGTCTCTGTGGACAGTCTAATTTTATCATCTCTTTTGCTCGAAATAATTGGCCAATGTCGATGTGCGTTGTATCTGCCAACTCCGACTTCGCAGACTGACAGTTACTTTACAATCCCCTTCTATTTGTCAGGGTTATGTAGTTCCTTTCATCACGATTTCTTCTTTACTGCTTCTCTCTTCTAAATTAATTCGACGATTGAGGCGCTAATTAATAGTGTTTGGTCATGGGTTGACTGGAGAGTGGCATCAGGCTTTTCATCTGCTCCGAGACAACCGACTTGTTTTGAAGAAAATCAATGTCATTTTTCTTCTCTTCTCGTGGGTTTCAATGACTTCTATTTGATCGTATTTCTCCCTCTTACGTTTAATTGGAAACTTGTGAGACAACGGTGGATTCTGGTAATATTTATTATTTATATCAAATGACAGGCGTCTTGATGGTTATCATTAGCCCTTTAGTTGACTTCAGGCTTCACAGAGGGGAAGAAACATCAAATTGAAAAAGTCGATAGGGGGGGGGGGGAACAGAAGAGTGTTTCAAAGATGTAAGAGACAAATACAAAGGTAGAACAAAGGTGAGGTGGGTACTGTGAAATAGTTTGAAGTGAGAAGTCAACTGCCAGTTAATAGACTTTTGCCGTATGAATATACGTTGCCCAGGGTACACCACGTGGAGGTAAGTCTATTGCACACCCCATTCTGGTAATATTTGAAAGTGTAATTCCTTCTTTACTCACATAAAGTTGATAAATTTAGTTCCGATTTATGGATTCTGCCCTAACAGCAATTACTTCATAATGTGTTGAGCCTAATTTTTTGCTCAATACCTAGCGCCTAGGTTTTTTACTTATGGTGGTAGGTCCTGATGTTTCAATTCATTTTTCCTTATGTAGTTTAAGACAGCACATTTATCTCATTTATTATTATGCAACTTAGTTGATCTTAACTTGGCGGTGTTAACTTCAGGTGAACGATCGTGTATTATACACTTTACAAGGTGGTCTTTCTTTTATAAGTATGAATTATCTGCTAACTTTTTATTATGATTATTAACTAATCCCTGTGCTCTACTGCATTTTCAATTTTTGCCCAAAATTCTTATTTTTTATTCAGACTGAGGAAGAAGCCTGGCCGCCGTTCAGAAAAGTCGGGGACTGTGCTTGTGAGCTACCGGCTGAAGGTTCTCTGGATGCTCGTTGTGCAATCCACAGTCTCTCCCTTCATTTGGTCGATGATGAACTAGTCATGTTGGTTGGTGGTGGCGCTGGAAACTTTTCACTGTGGTCTACAGCTGGACAAAAGTTCTTCGAACCGGACACTTGCAAGATTTCTGTTGATCTCCTAGATGGAAAAACTGACAAATTTACTTGGGAAGGTCCATCAGCATTCCGAGTACGTTTATCTTTTGGTTAAGCTTTCATTTAGAGTCTATGACTCCCTGTTTGTCATTTTGATCTTCTAATGTCCATCGGTAGAACTTGCTGACTTGCAGTTGAAATAGGTTTTTACATAACGGCACTTTTCAAGCAGGGAAACTGACGGATGTTTTGTCAAAGATAAGTTTGGGAGAAGGAAGGATATTTGTTATTAGTACAATCGATAGAAAACAGTCATGTACTATTATTCAGCTGATTTTCCACAACTGTCTTAAGTACGTAGTTTTTGAATAGTGCAGCTGAATCCCTCCCTTTTCTCACCTGGCCCTTTTCCTTTTTAGCCTGTTGAAGGTTCTTTCACTCTACGTCCCACTTCAACACCAGCCTTCCATCTCTTTGAGTTGGTTCAATTCTATCCACCATCGGCCATAACTGCTGCAGCCTATGAACCAAAATGGGAAGCCTTGGCAATTGGTTCTGCCCATGGATTCGCTCTCATTGATCTCAAAACTCACACGGTAGTCCACAAATTGCTAACCCATGGTCTACACATTGAGGCGGAACCCTTTGTTGCATCTGTTACTCGTAAGTGGACTTTATCCTTGTTTACCTACCCATTTTACATGAATCGATTGCCTTATAAGCCATTGATGGACTATTTGTGTGTTAAATCTTAGAGGATATCTACAATACCGTCAAGGGAGGTATGGAATTTAACAATGAATTTATTTAAACCTTTCTCAATCGTAAGTTTGGCTGATCAGCCTATTCTTGGTAAAGGTGAATTGTCCTTCTGGTATTGAATACCTGTCTTTACCAGTAAATCCTAATATTCTCAACCATTCAAGGAGGTTAGCATGTCGAAGTGTGTATTTCCAAAATAAGATTATATTCTAAATTCGTTACATATTTGTCTTAGTTGAAGGTTCTTATAGCAAACGTGTCTGGTTGCCCTGTTAGTAGTTCGTATGTCTGCAGTGTTATATGGCAGTCGGTTGGGATTGTTTAACTCTACTGATTAGTAATGATCCATAGAGGCTTGGTTGAACTGGTATTCCGCAGTATGAAGAACTTGAAATCGGCTTCTATCCGTAAAAAGTATAATCTACCAACATCTAAAATCCGCGTTGAAAATGTTCATTAAGAACTTCCTGTTAAGTTTTTTACCCCCTATGAATGAAATCGACAATTTTTTGTATTATCGACTCACATTAAGATAAAAACTGCTTAATACTGATTTATAAGGTTTCTAATCCCTTCAAAAATTTCCCTTTTAAGGTAGTCGACAGAAATTGCCAGAATATGATTAATAGTCAGAGAGGGAGAGAGAGGGAGCCAAAGATGAAGGGTTTCAAAAATCCTTTTATTGATGAACAGGTTACTCTTCCTGAGAAACTATCAGAAAGTGCAATTCTCCTTTGCTCATTATAAATCCCCCCCCCCCCGCCATGCTCATATTGAGAAGAGGTAAGAACACTTGACTTTAGTAGGGGAAGGAATCATTAGGCATCTTATGGCATAATAGCAATTCAGCTGGTCCCCTTTTTGACTGGAATCAATCGAACTGCTGGCCATTCGTATCTCCGCATGTATATCGAATGGCATCTATCGTGTCCTATGATTTAATGGAAGTGCTTGTCAAATACTTCGGCACCTACTAACGACCGCTGAATAGTCCCGAATTCCATTAAGGCTCGTTCTGCAAGTGTAATGATTTACTAATCTGAAATGTTGGTAATTATTCCATGGAAACTTAGGAACTCTGCGTATTTTGAATCATGTTTCTCAAGAATAATCACTCTTGCATATGCTTTAATTGTGTCTCTATAAGTGAAATGTATTTAGTGTGGTTTTCCCATTTAGCAGCCACCATCACTTTCGAGACGCGTGAATGTCATTTACACTCTGAAAGAAGCTAAATCTTCCATTGAATCTCACGCTTTAGGTGAAGCCGCTACTAAGATTGTGGCCAGTGGACGTCAATTGAAGGCAACTCTACGCGAGTCGTTCCGCAAGATTCGAAAGATCCGGCCTCAAGTTTCAGCACCAGCTTCCTCTACAGAGGCCGCTAAAGGTGGTTTACATTATATGCTCTTAAAGGATAGCTTCTTTTTACGACTTTTAACCGTTTTATGCTTATTGTAGGTGATGATGAGGTCAAGAGAGCAGCAGAAGGTGTTGTTGATGAAGCTCTTGCGGCTGTGGCAAAAGAGGAAGCTACGCATGCAGGAGAAAGTGGCACTGAAATTGTTAATGAAGCTACTGGGGACCACCCAGTGGGCACATCAAAACCCTCCGTGACGATAGCTGAAAATGAAGTCGAAACTCTATTACCACATCAATTCAAACCCACCGACAGCAAGTCAGGCGTCTCAGCACTGGCCCTCGTTGACACATATGTTGTTCCAGGCATTGCAGCTTCTCCTAAAGACAACCGACCGGCCTTCAAGCCACCTCGTACTGCTACCCTCATTATTGGCACTCAGGAGGGTAGTTTGATCACTCACACCCTCACTTGGCCAGCTGATAATGGATCCATTGAAGTTAATATGGTCAAGGAAGTTAACTTCCAACACGGTGCCCCCATTATCTCAATTTCTGCTCTTGATAGTAAAGAACACTACTCGCCTGTGTTTACTAACAGGACTCGGTAAATGGCTGATTTTCGAGCGTTTAATATCTTATCCACATAAATACTGTGGTATAAATTAAAAATGTAGCTTTCAGGAAAGCGTCTTGTATTCAGAAATTCTCACCACGGCTGAAAATTGTGATTCCATGCCCTTGAATTTTTAGTGAAGCCTAAATTAAAACGCAAACTTTCTATGAAGGTGTTAGCTTATCTTCTAAGCATCCGCATTATTAAAAATCGAAGGCCTCTCGGCAAAACATGAAGTGAGTATTTACAGTCGAACTACATCAAAGGTGAGCAAAAATTTTGCCTCACAAAACTCTCTCTTTCTCTTCTGTGGACTAGAATTGGGCTCGATAAATATAGTGTTTCGTTTTTGTGTTTGTTTTAATTGACCGTTTGCTGTAAAAAAGCAAAGTGATTTCCATATAGAGAAGAATAAGATGGTAGGTACAATTGAGGGAGGGGGGGAGATATTTTTTAGGACTCGACTTTAAAGTAACTGAATCGCGTTATTCTCGTTGTTTTCGTTAAGCTCTGCTGCCGAAGAAATTCCCAAGCCGCCAGAGCCAGTCAAGCCAAGGGAAGAAAAATCAACAGGAGAGGTGACAGAAAAGCCGCCTGTGGAAGGTGAAGAGCCTGCCGTCACAACTTCCGCGCCTGTAGCACCACAAGGGAACACCGAGGCGGTTGCTGAGGGAAATGAAAGAAAAGAATCATTGGCGGCCAAGTCAGTTGTTAGTCACGAATTGCTTATCTGCACTGCTGAGCAAGTTCGCATACTTTCACTGCCCTCACTGAAGACCAGGAACAAGTACCACTTCTGGGATAAGACTAATGCTGTTATGCACGGAACATTGAAGCCCAAGTCGTTGCTATACCGTAGGAAGTCAGAATTTGCCTCATCTACTACTTCAAATACTGCCGCTACATCAGTAGAGGTGGCTCCACTTACAACTACGGCCTCTACTGCTTGTCAAGAGAATGTTGATGCCAAAGTGAGCAGTTTTTTGCCTCTCATATCACTACTTATACAGAACATGCTATCCTCTTCCCATTTTCGGCATTTTGGTTTTTTGTCACCGTGATCATGCCTCAATTGTTGTTTAGGAAGTTCATTCAGATTGTTCTTCTTTATTGAATAGTGCACTTGGCGATTCTATTTACTAGTTGTTTCTCCATGGGACCCTATTTATAAAAGAGTATTTGACCACTACACTGACTTCGAAGATATGCCTCTTCTTACAAGCAGTCAGTCTATTCAAAATCATCATTTAAAACTCCTATCAAGCACATGAACTTGACAAGGTAATATTGCGGGAGTATGAATATGAACACCTAGGGAGCCCACTCCATTGAAGCCTAGAAGAGCGAATGTTAGCTTTAATAGCTCAACTTTATATTTAGTCGTATTCCTACGTAGTTATTTTAATTCCCATTCTTGTATTCTTTCAGAAACGGTACCACCTTGAAGTTTTTCATCATAGGAAGCGAGCTTCAATATTGGTTAACAGGGAACTTTTGGGGGTTAGTCATTCCCTGCTGTTCTGTTCTCTCACTACTCCTCTCGTTAGCGTACTAGTGAAAGGTTTACTTGTTAGCTACCTTGCACTAACTTTGAGCAAACAACCCGTTTCCCTTAGCAACACGCTAACTCGACTTATTGATAGTTGTTTTAACAAACTATCCTAAGTCTGGAGGTCCCCACTACACTTGTGTATGTAGTCCCTCTTACGATCCATTCTCGCGGTCAATAAATTAACCACATCGATTGATCGCTCACATTACTGGATGTACACGGATTAACTTTAAACCTTGTGACCTTTGACTCATTAGATGAACCTGCTGTTCCCTCCACCACTTTAATGACATTTCTTCCCGCTTTCAGGAAGCCGAGCACGTAACAGACGAGGCGCCAGTTGTAAGCCCAGAGGAAGATATTGTTGAACCAGGAGAAAAACAAGAAGAAACTGCTGTGTCCTTGTCTACATCAGAAAAATCACACGCTCACTCCCTCCGACGCGTTGTCTCGTTCGGTCTTCAAAAGATCCCCACAGGAGTTACTGAAACTGAAGAATATCACGCCGTAGTGGGCTTGAAGAACGGCCGTCTTCACGTTCTCACTATTCCCGGTCTTCGCAGAATTTTGAAAGGTAAAATGTCTCACGGCATCATGAGTTTCATTCTCCTTTCATTTCTGTATTGACCCCATTTATTTTATCTCAGCTACCTGTTGTGAACACCCACCTTGTCACAGTGGCAAGTCCATGCCCACTCAAGGCATCACTAATGCCTGTGTATCAAACTCTGCCAACTTATCTTTCTGGCCAGTTGGTGGTTGTGTTCTGTTGGCTAATGAGATCTCCTACACAACGCCACAACGACTTATATCTCCAGTCTGTGTTCATGGTCTCAAGTTAACCGAGGGAGATGCGACGTACTGCGTGTGTTTGCCGGAGTGGGCTAGACCGAAACCTCCATCAGCACCGACTAATGCGAACTCTGCTCTCTCTGCCGCAGATACTGCAAATGTGGATTCTAATGCTAAAATTGTATGTACCATACTTTTAACCAAATAGTGAAGCGAATTTTTAGCTCACTACCCATTCTGAGAATTGAAGCAAGACTCTATTAGCCTCTTAATGGCTTGTCATTCCAGGTTTTAGATTCGTTTTGTTCTTTAGTCGTGAGCATCAAACGATCTGGCATTTGGAATACTCCTTAGGCAGTCTTTGAAAAATGGATTCAATCTAGAAACCAAGGTTGGATCTTAAGTTTACCGTCAAGCGGTTGAAAATTGTGGAGGACTTTTTGCTTACTTGAGGGAAGTTTCATATTCAGCGGCGTTTCATAATTCCATTCAGTTCATATTTGCCCGACTCTAGAAAATGTGTACTCGAACACTGATTGTTCGGCCAAGATTGAAGTTGCTTCACTTTATCCGTTGGTTAAAAAAATATTTGACATTCTTTAAGCGTTTCCAATTCGAAGTTCCAGGAGGTTTTAGTAACTCAGTTTTGTTTAAAAATTGACCTATCTTGCTAAAAATAAGATTTGACAATTCTCAGGTAAAGTGGTCATGACCAAGTAGTTGTTGTCCTTAGCCTAGTAAAAAAGCGACCTATAACTATGCTTTTAAGTTCCCTACTCGGTTACTGAGCCTTTTATCTCAACTCTATCAGGGTAAATGCGTCTCATTTTATGCTTATTTGATCTTCATCTATAGCTTCTTCCTTGTAGGATGCACACGACGAAACGAAAAAGATGGAGACGGAGGATGCGGTTAACGATTCCATCAAGGACGAATTGAAGGGAACCATCGTCCCCGATCTTAAAGATTCAGCTGACACTGCCAAAGAAGTCACTGATTTCACAAATGACATTACGAAGGGAATCATTGCGGAGTGAGTCCTACTATCATATCTGTTCCTTACTTTTATCGATTTTATAAGTACTCATTTTGTTTCAATTCCTCTCAGTGGGAATGGGACAGTGACTGTGAAGACAACTGAAAGCTCTTTGGAGAAACATACTGTCATTGAAGGTGGCAATGTTATGACAACCGTCCATGAGACCGAGCGTATCGATGGTGAGGTTGTCAAGGATGACATTGTTCAAGTGAAATCTGATGTTGATGATAGTTCGGCCACCAAGCATGAAGGTTAGTCATAGGTTTGAAAAGCTCCCTAAGAATCTGAATTTTGTAATTTGTTAGCGTAGTATGTGTTAACTGAACGCAACGGCTTCTCGGGTGCAATAACATTGATTCACAATGTCCTCTTTCTTGGTTCTAATGTGTAAAAACAGTCATTTTGGCTCTAACTAATCTCAACAAAACACAGGATACTTGTTTGCATACGCTATGACAATAGGCCAATGAATTCTAATGTACTGTTGCGAAAACGTATGCACAATTTTACGGGATCAGATGTTTACTTTGTTCGGATGAGTTTGGGTGTTATTGTTATTCACAGTAAGTTAAAAACGGGGCGAATTCAATATTTCTTCTGAGCAGTCTTCTTCGCACTTCGAAGGTGAAACCGTATTTGCGAATTCTTTTTTATTACTATCCAAAAGTTTTTTTGGGCACTAATGTTCCCATCAATCACTATTTTCCGTTTAAAGGGAGATCTCATCCCTGATAGTTTATAAACTGAAAATACAATTGTATCTGCTTTCATTAGCCAGTGTTTAATTGAATTGTGTGCTATTAAATATTCGCTTAATTTGCAGATGCCGTAGAAGGGGTTGATCTTGACAACGTGGAATCCATATGAGCTGTTATCACCCCGCTAAGTAGAATATGTTTACCGAAATGTCAATAATCAATATAGGGGGTGGGGGTCGTGCGCCATTGTCCGATCTGTTGGACTCGGTCAATTTCGCCTCACGTTTTCTGTATTCAGACAAAGTTGAACTGGAATCGGAGGTATAAGATTAAGTCGCCCACTTTTGAAAGTCGACGTTTATTGCAATTTTCACAAATTTATCTTGAAACTTAAAATCTAATCAAATGTTCTCAAATCTGAGGAATTTTAGCCATAACGAGCTCATGAAAAATCTTATTTTCGTGGTTGATTTTTCTTAGTTTATCTTTCATCTTTCCTCATTAAATTGTGTGTATTGAAAGTCCTGTCTTTGGTTTGACCTTTCGATTGGTTGTCTCTTGGCTATTTTTAGGGCTATGCATTTATTGAGTACAATTGTGATTGCCTTTCAAGTTGATGACAACTAGTATCGTGACTTTGAACTAGTACTCTGTTCTTTTACTTTGCACACTTTTATTTTTTTAGTGACTGCGTAATTAATGATGTGATTCCCAAGGATATTGTCATTGATATGAAGCAAAATGAACTTTAATGCTATGCCTATATCTGTATTTGTGTCCGCTTTTCGTATGAATCCCACACCTCCGACTTATTTAATTCTTATCTATTCATCAATTGTTCTCTCTCGACTCGCTTACTTGGGTCTGATTTTTCGGTTCATCTGTCGAATACTCCTCCCCCTCTTACTCAACCCCCGCTTTTGTAATTCTGTGTGTGTGTGTTTACGCCTTTTGTGCGAGATGTTGGGATGGAAGAACTCGATTCGAGTCCCTGCCCCCTCCCCCTGCGTCCCTTTTCGTCGCTTCTGCTGCTACCTTCCAGACTTGTTCCCCCCTCCCCCCCCCCTCTCCTCTTTTTGGTTCTTTTTTATCCTATCACCTCCCTTATTCTTGTCATTTTTCGATGCTGCTGGTCAAATTTTACCACAGTTCACTATTCGATCACCTTTATTTTGGTGACGTTTCATGACCTTTAACACGAACTTTCTATTTGCCTTCCTATCTTCAAATAAGCAGCTCTTCGCACAATCACCTTTTAATCAACTCACAAATGTCTGGTCTATGGTTAATTAATTTATTTTTTGGTTTACGACTGACATTTCTTTATCACTGTCTGAATTCTGGGGGGCACATTAGAATCGATTGAATCTGAGATAATGGGGGGGGGACCGAATAAAAGTTTCACCTAAGCAGCAATCTTCCATAGTATTCGTAAATACTATGAAAATATATGGTCAAGTATACTGTCGATAACTTAGCGAAGTTTGTTTATCTCAATTGGCAGGCTTTATGATAGCTATCGTTAGCCCTTTAGCTAACTTCGGGCTTCACAGAGGGGAGACACATCGAAGTGGGAAAAATTCGAGAGGTGGGATAGAAGAGTGATTCACAGATATAAGAAAGACAGACACAAAGGCAGAGAAAAGGTAAGATGAGTACAGCACAGACACAAAGGTAGAAAAAAGGTGAGGTGAGTACTGTGTACAGACACAAAGGTAGAGAAAAAGGTAAGATGAGTACTGTGTAAGACACAAAGGTAGATGAAAGGTGAGGTGAGTACTGTGAAGTAGACACAAAGGCAGAGAAAAGGTAAGATGAGTACTGTGAAGTGGTGTAATACGACAAACTGTTGGGTCATAGTAGTCAGAAGTCGACTGCCAGTTTATAGACTTTTTTGACGTGAGTATACATTGCCCAGGGTGCTCCAAGTGGAGGTAAATCTATCGCACACCCCTACTTAACGGAATTTGTTGAGTGGATCCAATCACTGTATCTGAAGTTTGCTATTGGCAAATAAAGCATTGACATGTCAGAATGAAATTATATATATATTCCAATTACGCTTTGCAATCCTTAATTTTTTAAGAGCGCAAGTTTAAATGTCAGAGCATTATATAAAAATGAATTCTATTAAGCTGATAGTCTTGATAGAATCTTCGAGTTCCAATGGAATTAGAAAGGAAGGTCATTTGTGGAATGAATAATGGCTGAAAAAGAAAAGCTGTTGAATAGATCTAAGCTAATTTCCCTCACTTAAGGGTTAATAGAATTGCCGATAGATGTCATAGAGGCAATATGCCCTTTTAACACTGCCTAGAGGCGATTAAATTAGTTTTCAAAATGAGAAATTCATGTAATTGGCAGCTGTCCACGAGGTCAATGATTTAGTTCAGGTTGCCAATGGGGTTTTTAATGTCATCCTTATGGTACTGCCGTGAATAGTTGTTTTGATCCAGAAGAAGACTTTCAGTCTAATCTGTGGTCCTGTAGATACGTTTGTTTATATCCATAAAGTCGGAGAATGACCAGTTGTGTGGTTAACTAATAATTCAACAGTGACGTGAATCTATTACACCAGGTCTGGGACAACTCTCTCTCTCTCTCTAAGAGGCGTACGAGTACAAACGTGCGGGATTGGGAAAATTAATCACAAAATGTGTCCAGTAAAATGATTTTCAATTAGAATCGATATAATGGTTGCTTATAACGTGACCTCTTGTTCATTGGAAGGAACTCAACGGTTGCATGTCTTCATGCAAATTTACAGGATAGAAGGTGTGAGCTGGAAGAAAAGGATCATACATTTGCATTCCTACATCATTTACAAACACTTCCTAATAAACTTGAACGAAAACCTTTTCCTGCTTCGCAAATCCTATTTCGAATAACACTTATTAAACCTACGTTAGGTTACAATCTATCTCTAAACTGCTTATAATAAGGTGGAAATCATTCGATTATTGTCCGAAGGTATCATCTTTAATGCATCAAAAGGGACTGATTTGCCTAAAATGCCACTGGTAGTTTCATTCATCTTCTCGTGGCTGTAAGCCGAAACGCTAAAGTGGCTTGACAAATACATTCAATTAAATTAAGTGTAGAGTAATATCCACGGAACTTAGCATGAAAGAATTGGCTTCGGAACAGTCGGATATGGTAATATGAAATGTCATCCTCATTAGGCAGTGATTATTCCTCTTCAGGCAAATGAAGATTCTGCGTTTTATACTCCTGTGCTCCATATGTTACTTGAATAATTTTCCACTTCGCGTGCTCAACTAGGAGCTAATGATTGAAATCTGGATGATTTTTTGAGCATTTCGAGAGGTAATATTTATATTTAGCGTAAAAAAGCACAGTTTGGTGTTTTGCAATGTCAGAAATTAAGAAACGGCAGTTAATCGGTGAATATCTAGTTGCTAGAATGACTAAGCACATTGGTCAATTGATGGATGTCAAAGTGGCAAAAGTTCACTGGGTCATGTCTTAAAGTTCCAGGTTTCAAATATCAACATTTTGCCCCAGTGATCTCGAGTGGGCCCAACTTCCCTCTTTCAGACTTAGTGACCAGCAGATTGCTTCGAGAAGTTGAGTGTTTCTCGTTTCTTAATATATATAGAAAAGATAAGAAAAAAATCGTTATGGTATGGTAAGTTAATAAATCCTTTTAGTTGGCCAATTGACTCTGAATATCATCCAGAAATCCATGAATCATATGATAAATAGAATAGGAATAGTTAGTAACTATAATATGCACATATATGGCCATTGATGAAGCAGTAATTTGACAAGCCGAGACATTGCGACAGCAGTGGGGGGGGGGAGNGACTTTTGACATTTCTGCTCAATCACATTGATTTCCGTCTGACTCCGCCACTCCCCCCCCTCCCCCACATCTTGCTTCTTTTCATTCCTTGCAGAATTCACAATTATAATTTAATAAAAATGAATTTTGAGAACACTAACCCATTTTTTACATTTTATTAAAATCCTATTGGTTTTCACCTTATTTGCGTTAATCTAAACATTTAGCATTTTAGTCAGAATTTATAATTTGTTCCTCTGAACGTAAATATGCCTTGAGGCAGCTTTAATGCTCTGGGAATTTGAACGGTGTGATTCATCTCATATCTTTCAGGGTGCGATTAAAATTTTCGCTCAATTAACCCATCGACAACTCTGCACACGCAATGAGTTGGTTGCATGTCAACTTCGTGAGAAATCTAACTAGGTGTTCAACAGGAAAAAGTTGAATTTTGAATGAAAAATTTTGAAGTTATTACATGCAGAGAATCAGCGTCAAGAACCAAGAACAAATGGAATCATGGCATCCAAATCTTCCCCATGAAGGTGGTAATGAGATTAACCAAATTTGAACAAAATGAAAATTGAACTATTCAATTTCGAACCAGCATAAAAGGAAAATTTGAGAAGCATTGATCTTCCTGATGAGAAAATAAGCTTTTCATGGCCCTCCCCATTCAACTATGCGTGACTAAAGTGATTTGCCTCCAATACTGATCTTCAATCATAAAGTAGAATCAATTAAATGGGAGCT